TCTTCTCTGGTCACAACTACTAAACGAACTGCTAAATATGTTTAAAACTATTGCTTTAATTCATTTTTATTGTCATAGTTACATTTATGACATTGATGTTTCCATTTTATGAAAGTAGCAATCACTGCTTTTGCATAATTTTCTATGGAGCACTCCCTTCATTTTGTTATAAGGCATTTAAAAAAAAAATAATAAAAATCTTTTTAGTTTAGTCTAGGTTAAAGGTTCACTGTGTAACTTCTCTCAGGGAGAATATGTCACCTGCTTGTCTCCATGATGGAAATGCTATTGCTTTGCTTGCAATGTTCCGCAGTATGGCATTAAAGCTATAGTCCTTATTTAGACCTGGTTTAGTCCTGTTTTAGTCCTGGTTCAGTCCTGCTTCAGTCTGTTTGTGGCGCAAAAGTCCGGCATCACAATTTAAGTCACGGAAACAGGAAACAGCCATTATCTGTTTTTCCCATTATTCATTTAAACACAAAACTGAAAACTGAAAAAACTAATCATCTCTGTTTTTTCATTTTAGTTTTGGAGACAAAATAATGAAGAAAATAGTTCTCATTTTTGTTTTTATTTTGAAAAATGAATGATCGAATGATACACGGATTTATCTTCATTACTTCTGTTCGATAGCACAGTGGCTCTGCGGTTAGTGCTCTCGCCTCACATCAAGAATGTTCTGGGTTACCATTCTTAATCTCAGTAGGACTTTCCTAATTATATATCAATAAAAAAATAATGTGCCTGCTTTGGCCTTACATGAGAAGACCAGATTCCACAGGTGAGCCTGGTGAGGAAAGGCAGGAACAGGTTTTACACCTGCAATCTACTGGTAACAAATAATTGAACAAACAAATGGTAGCTTTAAGGAGAAGTTACAGATGAGATCTTAAGACCATTCTGAGGAACATTTCAGACAAAGCAATGGCCTCCCCATGGACAGAAACCTGTGGCAGACCCTTCACCGTTGAGACCACGAATTACATAAAGAACAGCTTATTTGTTATATAAATAAATATCTGCAATTTATTTATTTTTTATTGGCATTTTTTCCAATAATTCCTGCGTAATTTCTTTTAAAATAGTTGAATACATTTTGATGCAGTCTAACTATTGTTCATAATTGTTCTTGAACTTATAATTTATTTTTATTTATCTCCAGCTACATGTTCTAGTAATCTAGAGACACACACCACTTTAGACAAAACTCTCACACAACCTCCCAGTTTACACAGCATCCATTATCCATAATCCACAAGGTCCTCCACAGAGACAACATGTGCCCTTCTCTTCTCCCTTCTTCCCACCCCATGTCACGGCCCGACATGAAAGCCAGCCCCCCCTTCTGGTTTTACATATAGTAGCTCTGTTTTTCTTTTTTTTCTTACTCCACTCTCATTAGGGACCAACCTTTTGTGCAAGCATTGGGAGGGGAGCGTTGTGAGGTCTCTCGTGTCTGTCACCGCAGATAATGGTCACCCTGCTCTTTACCATGCTCTGTGTTCCCTGTGATCTTTGAGGACATCATTATCCTCTCCATGTATTTCAAAAGAAAGCGCAGTGTCTCCGAACATGGCCTCCTTGTGGGATTGGTTTTCCAGTCCCTTTCTTTGTAATGCACTATACTGCCTCCATTTTACATCTTTTTATCTTGTACTCTTCTCATTTTGCTCGGGCTGCGGTGAAGTTTCCCCAATATTATGCATGTATTAATCCTACAGTGGCCGTTAATTGCTGATGCGGCTACATTGACTTGTTGTGCGCAGCGTAATGAGCAGGTTAGCAACAGCGGAGAGCACCTGCCCCGATCCGCCTCATTACCACTGATTGCTTATTACACAGCTTTTTAATAACTTTAAAGAAACACTATGTAACTTTTTGGGCCGAGTGTCTGCCGCATAGACTGGGAAGTGTTCATGGAGGTGCTTCCGACTATGGTTCCAATTGATTTTACATAGCAATTTGTCACCCTCTTCTCTGTAAATGCTGGAGTGAGCCTCGTCACTTTGGTCTTAAAATGTTCGTAATAATCCACTCTACAATACTCTACTGGTGTTTTAATTTTGCTGTTTCATCTGTAAATAAATTCCTCTTCCTATTATAGAACTTGACTTCAAATTTGCTCCTATAAATGCTGGCCTCGTGAGTTTCATTTGACTGACTATGGGTCACATCACATTCTCTTCACTCCACTTCTTCATACAGTCTGTGGTTTGTCAACTACTTGTTATTCCATTAAACTTTTCTATCTCCCAAGAGACAAACAGGTGATGCAGCCAGGCCAGTCACCTCATTACCAGTGTTTGCTTATTACAGACTTTTTGATAACTTTACTTTTTTTGACAGAAGGGATCTACTTGTCTCCACAGAGATGTTATTCCTTTGCTTGGAATGTACACAGTGTGGCATTCAAACTCATCTATCTCCAAGGGGACATGGAAACCAGGCCAAGTTACAAGTCAGATCAGAGTCAAAAGCAGCTTGGCTTACAATAAGAATGTATGTTTTTCGAGGTAATTTTGAGCAATAAAAGCACTTGAAGTAACTGAATAATAAATGAAAAAATATATACAAGTTTATTGGCATACTGGTGAACATTCCGAGCAAAGCAATCATCAACCATGGAAACGTGCCGGTGGCAAACCCTCTTCCAGAAAAGTTACATACTGCACCTTTAACTTTCACTTTCTTATGTATTTTTTCCCCTTTGTTCTCAGCATCGTGCCACTACTCCTACCTTTTCCCTTACCTCACACTGGGATGCACATCTTTGTTCCTTAACTTGTTTCGTTTTCTTTTTAAAGCAATAAAAGAGAAAAAAATCCTGTGGGCTGTCTCTGCTGCACTCGCCCGCGGGGCAATCCATTTCGTCTCTCTTTGAACCCTTTTTAATTTTGCACCGTAGCAGTTTTTATTAACATATTTATTCATTTATGACTCCTTTCAAAGCCCCTTTTGCATAAGCACACCTTTCTCCTCATTTACTGCTTAGCTCCTCGGCTCTCTTCAGCTAATACGGCACCATTTTAATCCCGGATGCACTTTCATAGGCTTTTTCGGAGATCACTACTTTTCTGTCTAGACTTTAGCCAATTCTTTTCTTCTTTTTTTTTTTTTTTGAATGGGAAGTACGTCTTCATCAACCAAGGTCAAGGCGTTTCTCTCCAGACACCGCACAGAATACAAGTGCACTACCTCCCACTTTTTAGCCTGATGGCACCCACCTGTCACGGACTCCACTACCCCCTCCTCCATAATAACAGCCTGCATACTGGGCTCCATCAAGGGCCCTCAGTCCATTTGGCTACACACTGATTGTTGGTGGGTGATGAGTGGACAGCGGGTCGTCCTTTTTTAAGTGAGTTTTTTTTTTCCCTCTCTCAAGGTGTTACTGACAGCAAAGGGGAAAGGGGATTGATGCATTTAGGTTACAGGCAAGTGCTAAAATCAGGTATTGATTTGAAAGTGCTTGTATATTCTGTATATTTTTTGTATATGTGTGTGTTGAAGGATATAAATTAGGCAAGGGCATGCATTCTCTTATTATTTTAAGATCTGATGTTACAATGTTTCCTCATCAAAAACATACCTGGAGTTGTGTTTTGTTTCATTCACACACCTTTAACACACAAATTCTGCAAATTTTGGCTGTTTTCTTCTCTCAAACAGAAAACACTCTGTTCCACCTTGTCATGTGGTAATACAGGAAGTGCTCCAATTTGTTTGTCATTGTCATACGCCTTCACTAGAATCATTTCAGCCCTGGAATTGCCAATTTTTTATTGAACTAAAGGTCAAATGTAGCTGTTAACTTGAAAACTACCACTACATGACATCGCAGAGCATTTTCATCTTTGGAGATGTAGACAGACTAATAATGCAGGATTACTGAAACATGAATGTATTGTTTGTTTTTTTCCCCCCATATTAAAAAGTAAAGGCAGCACTTTTTGACAAAATCAGTCTGCATCTAACAAACAAGTGTATTGATTGCAAACCCTGAAAAAAAGAAAAAGTCCCCTGAAAATTCTAGGGGCTGTAGTCAACGAAATAAATTCTTCATCGACTAAAAACAAGCATGACTAATGTAGGCGTAATTCAAGCTCACAAAACTATTCAGCATCTCTTGGATCTGTTCCATGTATCTGACCCGAACTGCACTACAAAACTAACCATGCATACAGAGAGGTACTAGTCTTCATTATGTAAAAAAAAAAAGTAGGTTATGATTTATTTCCACATCTCAGATATCTTTATCCAAATCTGTATAATCTGTATAATTTGGTTGACTAATGTTGGTTGATAATAAAACTCCATTAATTATCTGACTAAATGCCTACAGCCCTAGAACATTCAACGATGTGCCAAAGGATGTGTAAGAGCTAGATATAGCTCTAGCGCTTACACGCTTTTGAAGTGCATTATATAGTATTGCTGTAATTAAACCCTCTACAGCTCAAATCTCATTGTAGTACAGAACAATATCCAAAATGTTCCCACTAGTATGAAGAAAAACTCCCCACAATAAATATTGAACCCCAAAGGTTATTGTTCCATCTGTCATTTATTGAACGATATAGTAATCATCATGACAGGCCTAGACAAATAGATTGTGCATATGCTTCCTCCTTTCACAGTTTGAAAATTGGGTTTTATTTCTCAAACACTTTTTGCTCTAGCTCGGGTGCATAAATATTTTAAAATCAAATAATGAATTTGTGCATTTATTACTGCTGTTAAATATATTGGTGGGTGTAAAATCAGTTCTCAATAAAATTACAATACAACAACATGTAAGTACTTACAATGATGATGTGATAAATCATAAGAGGTCTTCATGTAATTTGAAAATGTCAGAAAAAGCAGCTGACTGAACAGGACAGAAACAGGGAGAGAAGGCCACTATAACCAGCTCCTCTTTCAGTCCAGTGGGCTGTTAAATGCTAGACTCCAATTTAAGGTGCTATGCCACATTGTCTGAACTCAAGTCTGTCTTTCAGATGCCAGGGAGATCGTTCTAAAGGCTCAGATCTTAGCCGGCGGTCGGGGCAAGGGCGTGTTCGACAGTGGCCTTAAAGGTGGAGTGCACTTAACTAAAGAGTAAGTAACACCCTGTGAGTTTTTCACACTGTTTTACTGTTCAAGTAAGATCCATTTTGTTCTGGTGACATCGACTTTTTGAGTGAGCAAGCACAAAGAGCTCTGTGAAGATGTTCCCCAGGCACTAAAGCACAGTTAGGATTATTTGTGCTGCAAATAAACCCTTTTTTCTTTTTTCACTGCCTCATTTCTTGTGCAACTTCTCTCAATTAAAAAGAGGATTTTGAGTTTGGCTGAAGTATTATGCGCCCTGTGCGAAATTTCCCAAATCCCATGCTGTTTGGGATTTGGTGTCGCTGCTAAGGTTTATTTTTACAAAATGTGGATGTACACAATTAGAGTTCACAGTAGATCTTTTTAAAGGCTCGGTATCTGATTTTTTCCCCCTCTTGTATTTGAGCATATAGATATGATATAGATAGAAATATAGATATATTGGAGCGATTAACCAATTTTAATTAATTAATTTTTTTTTTTTTTTTTTTTCATGGTCAATCTCGATAGTTTAAAATCCTGAGCAATTGATGACTGATCAGCTCTGCCAATATTATATGGGCTGATATGTAAGGCAGATTTTGATCATTCTCCTCAAATTTTGTAATTCAAATTTACTACAAACTTATTAACAGTCTTTTCTTTACCACAAACCTATAATGTAATGTATATAAATGCGTTTAGTGCAGTTATCTGTTTCTTTCTCCCTAAAGCTTTGTGTGTATTTTTTAGGCAGCAAATTGATCAAAACAAAATATCAGCCTGTGCTGGAAATTTAAGACTAATACTTGATACGCTAAAAAGTCCAAATACTGGAATATCTGTCCTATATTATATAGCTCTCAAGATGTGTCTGCTGCGCACTATTTGCAAGCGTTTTATTGTCCAATAATCTGGATGTGCACAGTTAGCATGCCAGTGGTTGTTAGCTTTACTTTGAAAAACAGTTATAAACTCACTGTGGTGAATAAATAGGATGCGAGGAATAACTTTGGCCCACTGCAAAGTGTCAGTTCTATTTTTAAAATTTTTAAGATAGTAAAAATCTGGTACAACACAGCACTTTTTAGTCAATAATACTCAAACACCATATGTATTTTTTATGCACTTGCAGCACTATGAATTTCTCGGTATAGATCATTTATTGCTACCTTTAGGGCTGAATGGTGATTTATGACAGTTGTTCTGGACATGTATCATCGTCACCCTACTTTGGCTGGGAAAAGCAGGGAACTTTTTCAAAGTGAGACATGCTGAAGTTCATCGTCCCCAGACAGTGACACGAGTGCACGGTTCACCTTCCTCTCATCTATCAAAGGATGAGCACAACCCCTGGATTCATTTGTATTCACTTGTAAAAGCGGAGCAGGCTTCCAGAAGGGCGATGGCATGCAGCACGCCTTTAAAGAGCTATAATAGAAAGAGCTTCATTCACACTGATGTGTACTTGGACCAGAGTGTTTCTCAAAGTCCGCCTTTGTCAGAATGTGTTACAATGTCCACAAAGAGCTCAGGTTAACTCTCTTCATTTGCACTATAACCCACTGTGCATGTTTAGGTTATTCAGCTTTTCTCTCTGCTGTTTCTGTGTGTGTAATGGGATGAGTTCAGGCAAGGTCTTAACTGTCTTAACTTTAGTTTTATTCGTTCTTTTTTTTTCCTTTTTTTTTTTTCAAAACCAACCAAAAGTATTTTTTTAAAACCAACTTTAAATTATATTTTGTTACAGCTTGTAAAAGCATCTACATAAGCCTTAGAATCTCATGTTTTAACTACATCCTGTCTCTCCTACTCTCATCTCTTCTTGTTTCATTATACATTAACCAAGTACAACCGTATTTTAAACTATTTATTAATGCTATAGTTTGTCCCCTTTGCCATAGGCTGCTCTCTTATTGTGTGTTTTTATTAGTCATTCTTCTGATCCCATCAAAAGAAGGAAAAGAAGGCCTATGTTTATTAATGGTAAATACAATTGACCTACAAATCAAAGGAATCACTTTTCAGGCTATATTGATCCACTGATCCATTGTGCATGCTCATATCCTGTGTGTGTTGAGTGGGTGGCGTTACTTGTCTGCACACTTACTAAAGGTGCAGCAACAGCATCTGATGTGGGGAAATTACAATTTTTTTTTTTTATTAATGCAAATTATTGTATTGAACTTTTGTATGAATCTTTGACCTCTTTGTTCCAGTCCTGCAGTGGTCGGCGAGCTGGCTAAAAAGATGCTGGGTTTTAATCTCACCACCAAGCAAACGCCTAAAGATGGAGTTAAAGTCAAAACGGTAAGAATTTGTAAGAAACCAAAGAATTGTCCTTTTTTCTTTCCTCATTACAAGGTTATTTGAGTCCAATAATACAGTTGTATGAGTTTAATGACTGTGAAGGCAGCCTGAATCTGTGCTTTGTTTTGGTAGCTTAAAATATGTAGTTGCTGTCCGCTCTTGTTTACTCTGGCTTTTTCACTTGCTGGTGTTATGGCTCATTGCATAAATTGAACGAGGCCCAGTGTGAATTTAAAGTGTTGGGTAAACAACTGTTTCTGTGTGCCACTAACAAGCAGGGATCTCATTTTCTGTACTAGCAAACTGCATACAGTAACTACCATCTCAAAAAAAATTGAGCTGATGAAGCCTTCAGCCTGCGGACTCCCACCTCTTCTCCTACAGCTGTGTTTAGCAAGAATCAAATCTGCTGCACTTGTCAGTTTTCAAAAAGTCACCTGGGACCTTCCAGAGATACAAATGAATGTCTCAGAGGCAGAAGTAACTGCAAACAAACAAAATACAATTGGAATTTGCATTTAGCCCAAGTGCAAAAAGCCACGTTCCCAAAAGGCTCTGGAGAAGTTTTGAGATAATCGAGAGAGTTGACCTGTGACCTGTATAGTGATGGAGCAGGAGCAGATCTTGGCTGTCAACCTGTCCATAAAGATTGCATAACTCAACCACCCATGGGTCCAGTATAGAAGGTAACAAGAGAGGCCCAGCACTGCTCCTCTATTAACTTGACTTGCTGCCAGGCTACTGATTTGGGAATGAGTAGAGATGGGTTAGAGGCTGAGTTTGAAATATTACACTAAAGAAATGGTCACATGGAGTAACTTAAAGGTGATTTCAGTTATAAAAAAAAGAAAAGAAAAAACAGGCTAGTTCATTTTAAACTGTTTGCTGCAGTCCAAAAGTATTGCTCACATACCCAGTCTTCCTGAACATGTGAGACGGGCCTTTTCTGTGACGCTGTTTAAATCCAGGCTCAAAACATTTCTGTTTAACTGTGCAAATAACTGAAAGGTTTTCATTCCGCACTCTTCTCTCCAATTTATGTCTCTCTTTTTTTATTTTAATCTTCATGATTATTTATGTTTTGATTTGTTTGTTTTTATTATGATTTTAATGTATTTCTTATTCTGTAAAGCACTTTGAATTACTTTGTGTACGAATTGTGCTATACCAACAATAAACTTGCCTTGCCTTGCCTAAAGCATTTTGACCATCTTAATTTACTGCAAAGATTTATGAGAGCTTTTCACATCTTTCATAGACCAGAGAGATTACTGTGACGTTAAAGCTTGCAAACATTAGCATGCTAATGGTGCACTTCCTGTTTCGCCGAGAATGAAATGCTCTATAACTAGATGTAGATGGCAGATACCAGTCTCAGTTTCACCCAAAAACGGCTTACAATATCTGCATTGGAGTGAAACATAATTGGAGGGAAAAAAAATATGTTATGTCCCTTTAAGTGAATATCTTTTACCTTCTCAAAATCAGCTAATAATAGGGGTGTAACAATATCCAAGTCTCACGATACAATATCATCATGGTATGAACCTCATGGTACGATATTTATTGTAATATTGTGGGAAAGCTCATGATATGGTGGGGAGGCTTACGTTTAGGGATGTAACAATATCCAAAATATCTCGGTACGATATTTTCACTATATACATCTCATGCGATGGTATTTATTGTGATATTTTGTGGAGACTAACAAAAATGTTAAGATGCTACTTTTTCCTCTTAAAATGCCTTGACCAGACTTAATCCAAAAAACTTAGTCTGAAGTGCTTATAAGTTATTTCTTCTTGTAGTCTGCACTGAAATGGAGCAATGGATCATGGTCTATGTAGTTCCCTCTGTCTTTTTTTAGCTATTGCTGCAGCAGTCTCTTAATTTCAGCAAAGAGACTTGTAATTCAATATATATTGTGATGGTCCACGATGTTATTGTGAAAACTTTGACGATACAATATCACGATATTTCTGGTATTGTTACATCTTTAACTAATAATAAAGTATTTTATTTATCACAAACTTAGAAGTATTGCAAGGAGCGCTAGGATTGACTGCACTTTAGTGGTCCACCCCAGTTTAATGTTGCCATTAGAAAATAAGTTGAAGCTGAAAAGCGAAAATTCATCCATCCGAATATCGACAATGTGCCAAGGGGTTTGTACGAGCAAGAAGTTAGTTAGATTCAAATGTATTCCTTCAAGTCTTCAGAAATCCGGTTAGACAGTTTTAATATTAGAGGATATACTATTCAGTCTGTTTACATCACTTGAGTTTAGAGAAGACCATCCATCCCCATTGACAATATGACGAGGTATAAGCAGAACACAGGCACCCATGTTCAAGCAAACTTCACCTTTACCCTTAACCACACAGCTAAAGACAACCTGTCAAAGTCTTTTCTCCTCAAATGAGACTCCCGCTTGCTTCCTCACTCAGCTTATCGGCCTCTCTCAGCTTAGGCCTGCTTTGTTAGCTAATGCGTCTCCTATTCTTTGTGTACCAACTGGTCTCTGAGCCCGGCTTCACACGTTCTGTCAGTCAGCCTTGTTATCTGGTGCCATTGTGGTCAGACTGCTATTTAACTTTCATTAGCGAAGTGTCACACCTATGTCGTCCGTGTTAATTATTCTCAAGCAATCATTGAAAACAGCTATAGTACACTGCTGTTTCTTGTCAGCTTTGTCTTTCTGCTGACCTGGTTTTCTTCTTCTGTGTGTTAATGGTCGTGCCCAGGTGATGGTAGCCGAGGCCCTGGACATTAGCCGAGAGACCTACTTTGCCATTTTGATGGACCGTGCCTGTAACGGACCGGTGATGGTGGGAAGTCCCCAGGGAGGTGTGGACATTGAAGAAGTAGCGGCTAAAACCCCAGAACTCATCTTCAAGGTACAGTTCTTTTCTTTTCTTGCTTTGCTTTTTGAGTCATAATTTGCACTCACATGTTTTGGCTTATGTAGTTATTCTGGTCAGTTCTGTAAAGGTAGAAGTTTTCAGACTTAATATTTTTTAAGCTTAATTTATCTTCATAACAAAAATCTTAAGCCACGCTCTCTGAAACAAAACTGAACTCTGGGTATGTTTTTGACATGGTAACAACATTCTAACATGGATAAAAGCTCATAAGAGTCAATTTTACGTAATAAAAAACCTTTACACATACACTGTAAACATACTCTTGAGTACATTTGCAGTGCTTTCTCATGTTTACACTTTAAAACAATGGCTTTGTAAGGAATAAGACATTATTTTTCAGCCTAAATGAGTCTTATCTAATAACAATCATGCCGAAAATGTTGACGTAAGCATGCACGAGTAATGAAAGTGATTTGATGGTTAAAATGAGTCTGGTGATGATTTATTAACTGCACAGGGTCTCTACCTCTGACTTAACAATACCGGGCAATTTAAACATGAATGAAACAAAATGTATGTGTACTTCTTTTACGGGGGAATAATGACTAAAATCTCCAAAAACGCAATTTGGCGTAATATACTGTATATCTGTTAAATGTTTGACTTGATTTTTTACTGTCCTATAACACACCACAGGTCTCATGCGCTGGTAAGACTTGCAAAATTGCATGTTTCTCTGTGTAAAGGAATTCCAGCTTTATTTTATGTGTAAAGTTTGTAAGATGTCTGAAAGGAAAAAAAAATGTGTGTTGCATTTTTTTGCCTTAAGTTTTGGTTTGACTCCCAAAATGATTTCGGGTAAAAGCAGGTCCTTGTCATTGTTAACAGATGTACCAGTTAAGCCTTACAGATGGAGGTTTAACCAGCATATCTCTCTGCTTGTTTTATCATCCCTTTTCTAGACTGCAGATGTTAGCACAGATTGCAGAGACCGTGCATTGATGTCTATCATAGTGCGTTGCAGATTGCACGCAGGAAACACACTGCTTTAGTTCTGCTACATATGGTTTTCCTATTGCTTCTGTTCCATTTCCAGTGAAATATTTTCCAACTAAAATAGAATGAATCTGGTAGCTTTCCTTAAAAGTGCATTGTGTAAATTTTCTGGTGGTGGGCTGCTGCCTGCTTGTCTCCATGGAGATGTTATTGCTTTGTTTAACAGTATGTCATTAAACCTTTCTATCATCATGGAGATCAAACCAGGCCAAGTTACAGGTGAGATCTATGGAGAGGTGACCCTGCTCACAGTCAGAATGCTTGTTTTTCTAGTATTTTTGAGCTATAATACCACCTGTAATAAATGTAAGGTAGATCTGTTTAATGGCATATTACGGAACATTGGAAGCGGAGCAATGACATATCCATAGAAACAAGGTGATGGACCCCCAACCGAAACGTTACGAAGTGCATCTTTAATTCCTTCCTCATGGGACCTCACAGCATTTTAGAAGACCTATAGTTTTAGTGTCAACTTTCAATGTTATTGTCTTGAACATTGTCAGATTGCAGTTTTTTGGAGCTGGTTTATGGATAATGCCTTTGCTATTACTGGGCCTATTCACATGAAACAAAAACTAACACATCATTAAAAGTTTTATATTATGTTTTCACTGTAGTTTCAGAAAGTCGTCCCATTATTTAACACCAAAAATGTGTTGAAAGGACTTTTAAATCACTAGATTAATATGGCAAGTTAGTAGAGCCAATTCTAAGCAAATAAAGATACATCATCTGTGGCTAGATACACAAGTTTGGATAATTATTTTAGAAACACTGAATTTCCAAGTGATGCAGGCTCCTGTCCTCTATTTGAAATTATGACTTCATCAAATTTTAGAATGTGAACACAACATCTTAGCTTTTACTGCTCTACTTTTTTATCACTTCATCGTTTTCTGTCAGCATAACATTTTAGTATACGGCCCATTATTTTTTCATTCTTCTCAGTATATATCTCTTCATCATTCCTTTTTTTTCTTTTCTGTTTTGTAGGAAGTCATAGATATATTCCAAGGAGTTCAGGATGAGCAGTCACTCCGCATGGCAGCTAATTTGGGTTTCAAAGGACCTCTTCAGCGTCAGGTAATGGCACAGACAGATAATGCAAAGCTGTGCAGACATGTACACAAAGGGACGTATGCTCAGTCCCACACACACGCACGCACACACACACACAGACATACACATATGCTTTGCCTATCATTACTTTTGCTGTACAATATTGTCTGGTGTCATTATATGCGACACATTGCCAGGTGGTCTATTGTTATTTCTGGCAGAGGCTGGGAGCACAAACATTAATGATACTGATTTGTTACAGTGATTCTCGACATACGTGGCTATAGTCCATGAAATAAATGACATAGCGACTGAGCAGCTGATTATAATTATTGGTTTATTACATTAAAGGGCCAGTATTATGCTATTTTCTGATCTATGTTATAATGTTTCCTCATCATAAACATACCAGGAGTTGTTTTTTTGTTTCATTCACAAGTTTAACACACAAACCCTGCATATAGAGGCTGAATTCTTCTCCCAAATAGAAAACACTCTGTTCCACCTTGTTATGTAATGTGATAATACAGGAAGTGCTCCACCGTGTTTTTTAAACTCCATATACCTTCACTGGAATCTGAAAAATTTAGATAATTTCAGCTCTGGAAAAGCCTATATGTACTGAACTAAAGGTAAAAGGTCACTGTTAACTTGAAAACTATCACTACATGAGCATTTTGCCCTTTGGAGATGTAGACAGACTAGCAATAAAATGTGTTACTCAAACGTGTGAATGAAATGAAACAAAACATAACTCCAGGTAATATCTCAGGCCTCAATTTTGTGTAATATTTTTGATAGTTTAGGTGTTATTCTCATAAGCCTAGAATGTGTTTAATGTTGACTCTCATGAAGCATTGATAACAAGTGTTAAGTGAGTTTCATAGCATTGTTTTCCCCTTGCCACTGTCTCTGTGATGTGAGAAATTAGATTAGTTCAGATTTGTGACATAAAGAATACATCTAAATAAGTACAATGAGTCTCGGTTCCCAGAAGAGAAGCCGCAGTCGTGAGTTGTTTCTGCGTCCATGAGGGGGCTTATCCAATTACTGGGTTAACCGTAACACAGGACTTCATTTTATGATGAAATGAGGAATGAATATTACATTTACTGTGCAGTTAGAATAACACTAAAATGATGTGTTTGGCCTTGTTTTATGTAAGTGCACTTGGCAGGGCTTTGTTGGGACAGTGTTTTCATGAGGTACTGACTGCCCTCTGCGGCTCCACAGGCTGCAGATCAGATTAAGAGGCTCTATGATCTCTTCCTGAAAGTCGACGCCACACAAGTCGAAGTCAATCCTTTTGGTGAGACTCCCGAAGGACAAGGTACATGTGCAATGCTAATGTCTGTTTGTGCTTCTGTCTGAATCTACACTGTTGTCTGACCTGTCATTGTATATGTATTATTATTATGATATTTCCCCACAAAGACTCTCATAGAAACTATTTACAGAGCTTATTGACTATTCCATCTCTCTGCCACCATCAGTGCAGCCTCCTCTGACTCTGCTCATACTGTATCTCAATTAAGCCCTCACATTCAGAGTTCTCTTTTTACACACAAACAAAACAGGTGATAATGGTGTATTTGATGTGCTCTGACTATTTAGTAGAAACACACATGTATTGGTAAAATGCACAATTAGATTAAGACAAATGTTTAAATTGCCTATATTACGCAAATCGACTTCTTGTCATCTTTAAGCCATGTTATCATTTTACCTTATTAAAAAAACATACCTGGAGTTGTGTTTTGTTTCATTCACACATTCAAAAATTATGCCTAAACATGCAGAGTGTGTGTGTGAAACATTTGTGAATGAAACAAAACACAACTCCAGGTATGTTTGTGATGAGGATATAACATTTTAACATAGAATAGTGTAATATGGCCCCTTTATTGCACTTGTTCATTTAGCTCACAGTTTACAACCAACAGTATCATCACCGTGGAGCAGTAAAGTAACATTTGTGTTTAAAATGCAGTGTCTAAATTGGATTGGTTCTACCTCTGTATCCATAATAATGTGTAAAGTCCATTGTTGTAGCCGTTTCACTTGCTACAATAATTACTAGTTTGTGACTCCAGAGAAGGTTAGCGGGGGCATTCACGTGTCAATCACTGACACAAAAGAGAGTGATGATGATGAAGAGCGCAGTGGCTGTTGTGATGCAGAATATGTGAACTCACGCTGAACCTTATATTTTCCTCTGGATGTGGTAAATGTGATGGCTGTTTGAGGTACATTAGGGCACATCCTGTATACAAAGGATCGTTCTTAATGTCTGAACTTCAGGCACTATAGCTCTCCTGTTCCTCATTCACTTCCATTTTGTTTCCACATATATTTCTACAAATTATTTTAGCTCGTACCACATGAGGCAAACTCAATGAAAGGTTCACTATTACGCAAAAATTTACTCTTGTGACCTTTAAGCAATGTTATAATGTTGTTTGTCCCCGGAGTTGTGTTTTCTTTCATTCACAGATGTTTGAGTAATCCTTCTTCATTAGTGTGTCTACATCTCTGACGCTCAAAATGCTCTGTTCCACATTGTGATGTCATCTTTTGATAGTTTTTAAGTAAACAGCAGTCTTTTACCTTTAGTTGAGATGGCAGTTCCAGAGCTAAAATCATCCAAATGATTCTAATAAAAGTGTATGAAATTTAAAAATACAGTGGAGCACATCCTGTGTTACCACATGACATCACAAGGTGTAACAGAGTGTTTTTTGTTTGAGAGAAGAATGCTATGTAGGGTTTGTGTGTTAAACATGTGTGAATAAAAAGAAACACAATTCCAGGTATGTTTCTGATAAGGAAACATTATAAAACAACAGAATACAGCGTAATATGGGCTCTTTAAATTGTCAGTAAAATGAAAACCAAAAATAACTTCACTCCTGAGTGAAATTTAAGTAAATGAACCAAAACTGAATAGATTTTAAAGTGAAAATATCTAGCCTGCCTCTGCTCAGTCAGATGAGCTGCTTCTCTGTGGCGAGTGAAAATAGAACAACATTTGAAAGGCGTGTCACCATTAATATTTATGAGGAGCCATTAAAAAGCACATTTCTTTTGTCAACATTTTGATATTGCTTGTTGTCATCGTGTACTATAGATAGATACATGGTTATTTATTGAAAACATGTTGTAAATAGTAAAAACAGATAGAAACTAAAAAACACTAAGAGACCCTGCCCACTCCAGAGACAACTGCTGTTTCTGTTGTAAAGAAATATAGCAAAACATCAATTGAGTAGTTGTCAACAATAAAGTCACAAAATATTTAGATATTGATATTTAGGTTTTTTATTCAAAAAGCACTCATATTTTTAGATTAAAGCCGCAGTGCGTACCCTTTGGTCTAAAACTCTAGCCTTTTTTTTTTTTTTTTTTTTTTTTTTCATTTTAATAATATAATATAATATAATATCCCACTGTATGACTTACCTTGTATGGTTAACTCAGAAGGTCATAACAATTGTCTCACACTCCATCCTGTGTAGAGCAAATCAGTGCTGTATGTTCTAAACAAAGTCACTTTATCTCCAACATAACATGAACCAAGCATGCATGTCCCCCTTAGAAAACAGTTAAAAGAATGAAAAGAACAGAATTGGCCAAGAATTCGGTTACAGTGGCAGCTAATACATGCACACTCAATATCTTATAATTATGAGATTTTTGGAGTAAACTAAACATTTGAACTACGTGCAAAGAGCAAAATCACCAGTTTCTTTCTGATCATGGTTCCCCAGATCACTCGCATTGGATTTTGCTGTTTGCATGTCATTTAATTAATCCTAAAGGTCTTCACCCAGTTTTGGTGTGCATGAAACTATAGCCATTGATACTAAGCTGAGTGAAAGGAAATCATTTTGAGGAGCTTGGAGTAGAGCCAGTGCTCCTCCATGTCTCCTACACTCACTTAAATGAATTAAATATATAATCAACTTTGTGTTTTAGCTGACCCATTAAAGTCCATTCATTGTTGTTGTTTTTTTTCTTTTGGGAAATTTCTTAATGTAAATAAACAAAATAATAAACTTACAGCAAACTTTTAAAATAAACTTGACGAAGAAAATATACTTTGTCTTATTCAGCTCTGGTCATTACAGTCAGGTTAAAGTTATGTGCACAATGTTTTCAAAGCTAGTTTATATTCTCATTCCCTCTCCACTCCTACACAGGTCTCCATTGTTTTGCTGTCTGTCTCTCTAACTCTCTGTGTCATCCTCTCCACCCTTCCTACCTTTGCCCCAGTGGTTTGCTTTGATGCCAAAATCAACTTTGACGACAACGCAGAGTTCCGTCAGAAGGCAGTGTTCGCCATGGACGACATGAGTGAGAGCGACCCCACTGAGATGCACGCTGCCAAGTGGGACCTCAAGTATATCGGGCTCGACGGAAACATTGCCTGCTTTGGTAAGAGGGTGGAAGATAAGCTGTGTGGATGTATTTATAAGAGAGCATACAGGTGTTTTGTCAGATCTGGTATTGAGTACCTTTTTGTATCAGTTGCCATTCATCTTCAGTAAACCCTACCTGTCAGACTTTTAATTTAATGTTTATGGGTTTTTTGTCTTAATGTTCATTACTATTTAGAATGTAGATTCTCACACAGTCAGATCAGATCAAAAGTATGAATGAATGCATAGTGAATGTAGTAAGCAAAACGTGTGAAATAATTAGTTTTATATTGGGATTTTCCTAATGGACTCTGACAAGGCACTGTGAAGTAAAAAAAAAAATATTTCAAGTGACTTCATGATGAAGCTGTCTCAATGAGCTTCATCATGAAGGTCATTGAGACAAGGCCAAGGTTTTGCTGTAATATCAACAAAAGAAAGGGTGGCTACTTTGAGGAATGAATCTGTTATGAAACCTATTTATTTATTAGATATTCAACTTTTTTTTTTTTTTTTTTACTTTGCTACATAATCCCATACATCTTGTTTCATATAGCTTCAGAATGCATGTACAATGTAAAAAAAAAAGTAGTAAATGTTAAGAAAAAAAACATGGGTATTTTCATGTAAGAAAGACATTTCCACCTTAAGCCTATCACCTTAAAGTTCTATCATGACTAAATTGGATAGGCGTCACTTCAAAAACCTAGCTGCCAGAACCCATATAAGCCCTCAGAGTAATAGTGAGTCTTGAAAATAATTGCTATATTATACCACAACTATACTTTTATAATGCTTTACTTAACAATCCTCTGAGGCGCTATAAGTTAAGTGTATGGTTAAAACTTAGTAGACACAAAGGCAGCCCGGGCTCTCTTCCAGTCCACACTGCACGTCTCTTTCGGAGCGCTCCAGACGGATTTCTCCCGTAACCAATGCGTTCTAATTAGCTATAATCCGCCCGGAAAGTCTCCAGTGTGCTGGATTGTTAGCATTCTCATTAAAGGGCCCCTCTCTTGTCATAAATCAAAGCTTTTACACTGTATTGCAACACTAACAGGTGCTCTCGCTCCTTACCGCACGCTCTTATAAACATATTAGATGCCTGCTACCCCCGACCACATTTGACACTTTCGTACTTCCCAAGTCGCTCTTAAAGTAACCCCAGCTTTTAAGCCTGTGTCGTTTCCGTGAGAGGTTCATGCACTAGCAAAATGGCAGCTTTTAGAGCAAATTTCCGAAAGTCGAGAGCTTTTCCAGGGCACACGTTCATTCAGTTTAAACTAAATGAGCGAAGATATTTTTTGTGAGATTGGCGTGTACACATCTCAGCGGGAGAGACGGTCTGGAACTTGGCTAAATGATGACATAGCCGGCAAAAAGATGCTACCAAACTCTTTTAATCAACGCTCTTTCTGTGAAGGTGTGATTTGAAGTCTTAATCAGATTTTCTCTGTGTTGCCAGACCTGAAATGCGCAATGTTTCTGATGTGAATATTTTCTATTGATGCGTGTACAAATTCACTAGAGGGAGAAGAGGCAGAGCACGTTCCCTTTTTTTGGTTTTCAATGGGTACTAAAGACATGGGGGCGTGCTATTTAGTCTTTTCTTCACTGTTTTAATATTTTCTTTATTTCGTTTAGTGGTTTTTGTTGTCTCAAGGACTACGAACTTGTGTCAGTTGTCAAAATGTTTTAGTCTTGATGTAATAAATGAATTTTTTGATTTGAGAATACACAAATATCCATGCTTAACACTTGGCATAATCTGAATTGTAATAGTTATATTACTGTTATATAATGAGAGACAAGACTTTACATGAGATCTACCTATAGCTATTCTTTTTCCCAAACTGCAGACATATGTTTTAATTTTATTCATATACATTGATTCTTCTTAAAGGTGCATTGTATGACTTTTCTGGTGGAGGTTCTGTCAAATGCTCTTCTCCATAGAGGTGCTATTGCTTTGTCAGAAATGTTTCACAGGGTAGCTTTAAACCTTTCTGTCATTATGGAGGCCAAACCAGGCCAAGTTACAGGTCAAATCTGTGAAGAAGCAATGCCGCTCACAGTCAGAATGCCTGTGTTTCTAGGTATTTTTGAGGTATAACCCACCTGTAATTTAGGTTAGGTTTGGTAGAGCTGTTTAATGTCATACTGTGGAACATTCAAAGCAGAGTAATGCCATAACCATAGAAACAAGAAGGTGATGGACCCCAGCTATATTCATATATTTAAGTTATTTAAGTGTCAGGTTCAGGTTTTCTTATTTGGACCCATGGGTAAATTTGTTTAGCAAATTGAGACTCCCACAATACACATTCGTCATCCACATAGACAATTACATTAGAATAGAAAAAGAAATCAGATTAGTGTTTTAGTACTAAGTGGAAAATTATTTTAGTGCCACAAATAAACACTCTTGACTAAAAGTTAATTAATTTCTTAGAACAATTAGTTTCAGATTTTAAAGGCCCTGGTGTTTTTACAGCATTAATACATTCATATACATTTTATTTTCTTGCAGTGAATGGAGCAGGATTAGCCATGGCAACTTGCGACATCATTGACCTGCACGGAGGAAAACCCGCTAACTTCCTGGACTTGGGCGGAGGAGTCAAAGAGAGACAGGTCTACGAGGCGTTCAAACTTCTCACAGCAGATCCAAAGGTATGACAGTGTTACAATAGCAGCTTTTGATCATTGCACGATTCAGCTGTGAAACTATGATTGGTATTGCAGTCATGTATCTTGTCATAAAGCGCTGTCTCTGCCTAACGCACAGTGAGGGACACAACAGTACTCATTAGACTCAGGGACTCTGGCATATGTCCACGTCTGCCTCAAAAACACACTCGGAAACAGGACGATTATGCACCATCATTTTCTGTCTCACCGCCATGATGAATTACCCCTCTGTACTGCGCAATAAACACTGCCTTACCGGACTCATTATTACACGTGTGGTGACAGACGTGTTCACATGCATATTAATGAGAGGGGACAATAATAAGAGCATATACAGACTTAAATGAAAGCCTTCCCACCAAAGACTCTGCTGTGTGAGTGGCAGCAGCTCCCGGTGTTTTACAAGTCATTTGGCTCTGTGCACAGAAAGCTAATAAGTCCAAACTAAACAAAGCAAGCCTTGTGACGATGGGGCCGGGGACGATGTCGTGTCTCTGCTGCGTCGCATCCAGCTCCATCAGACCCCCTTTGGATGTTTGGAATGTCGTTTTCACTTCAGGCTGCAATTATTTGTAAAATGATTGCATTGTGGAGTTTCAGCGCGATTGCAACAGTTGGGGCTAGCATCAAAGTTCAAAGACTTTGTTACAGGATCCCAGATTCCCATGTCAGCTGCTGTAATGGTTCTGTCTGGAGTCTGTGTCTTACCATGAGAGAGGGTTGTCTCCTAGTTACTACATGACTATGCACTTGTATAGATCAGTGAAACTTTTGTGTGTATAGCTTGAACTGAATTTGAATGACTGTTGGGTAACAATCGCAAAATGTGTTGTGGGGTGTCAATAAAGTGGGTTTCAGCATCCTCTTGTAGGTGATATTTTGAGAACTATTCATTCGAAAGATACTATACTTAGTCTAACTTACTGTATTTTTCGGACTATAAGTCGCACATTTTTCCTGGTTTGGGTGGTTCTGTGACTTATACTCTAATGCGGCTTGTATATTAAAATTTTCACACTGACAGCCTGGAGAGGGCGCTATAGACTTGTGTGTCAGTATTTGCTACTACTGTACCACTGTCACTTCACCCTCTACTGCGCATGTCTCCTGCGAAAAATCCGCTGTCCTGCTGCAAGTAGTAAAATATTCAGCTGAAAACGGTAATCGAGCAGCAGAAAGAAAGTTTGAAGTGAGCGAGAAACTTGAGGGACTGGTGGAAACTGGGGATGGAGAACACAGATTTATGGTAACCAGGAAGAGGAAGTAGCACTCCATTTACAGTCAGAGGTCACGGAGTTGCTCAGAAATGACAGTGAGGATGAAGAATTCAATGGATTTAATGATTTGGACTGAGATGGAGAGTTTGGTAAACTTACGTTATGTTCTGTTGTTTATGCTATAGTTATCTGAATAATGTTAATATGCTACGTTAACAGCCTGTTGTTCTCTGTTCTATTACTATTACTATAATTTACTTTTCAAGATGAAATGTCGGTTCCTGTTCTCTGATTTTATAAAATAAATTTCCCCAAAAAGTCCAACTTATAGTCCAGTGCGACTTTATATGTTTTGTTTTATTCTTCATTACGCATTTTTTGACTTATACTCCGGAGTGAGTTATAGTCCGAAAAATATGGTAATTGCCACATTAATAGCAACAATATTTTTCCATCATTTGGAAACCTATATATAACTGCTTGAAGATCATAATTAACTGCATATGAATGAGTGCATTTGCTCTGATCTATGCTTGTACAATAAACACAATGTATATTATTAGCAAACATATTTCAATTAATGTCAGTAGAATAGTATTATGTGTATGTATGACAGTACAAATTAATGTAATGCTTACATCTTTGTTGAAAGCAGCAGAACATGGACAAATGTCTGTTTGTGTATAGTTTAGCACACTTTCTCTACTACCATGCAGTAACTATAAATCAAGGGCAAACTTGCCTGTTCGTCACTATTATGTTCTTGTCTGCCAAGAACATTTTGATCACATCCTGCTACTTTGCTGTAAAAAGGCTCCTGCCAGCTTCTGTAGCTTACCACATGCAGACTTTGTTTTAGGCCTATGCAAAGATCTACACTAATATGACAATTATTGATGTATTTAGATGTATTTTCCTTCCTGACTCAAACAGTTTTATCCCAAGTCAATAGTCCTAGCTGAGCTTTTCATTACCCATTTTCAGTAAGAGCCCGGAAATGGCGGCATTTTGCAACAGTTTGTGCCCCATGTTGTTTCACACTTTTATAGATGAATAGTAAAAACTCTGGCACACTGGCACAGCAGGTGATGCATTGCCGCGCTCAGATTTCCACTGTGTGTAGAGTCTATTTAGTCCCGCGTGATACGGACTGACTGGACTGAAAAATGAGAATAAATATGGCAAATAAAAAAGAAATGTGATCAATATGGGAGAAAGAAAGTACAAAGATGTCGCTTTAAACTCGAAAGGGGCGCCATCTACTTTTATTGAACTGTTTTTCACAAGCAACGTCGGGAGGCAAAGTCTGTATTCACTCCAGCTTTCAGAATCCCTGCATGGACACTAGTCTCCTCCTTGGCCCTCCTCCCGTTCCTCCTCCTCTTCTTCTCAGCCTTGGTTAGATTCCCTCGATCCAGATGGGTTAGAAAGCCCTCTGCCTGTTCATGCAGCTATGTATGGAAATGGAGACAGCCAGCTCCTCCCTAACCGGGGAAAAAAGAAGAATAGGATTGACATTAAACTGGGTTGGAAGCATATTAGCATTTCAACCAAGGGAGCTGAGAAACCTGCTCTGATCTGTGAAGGGAATTTTAATCATTTCACAATAAGAAGCGAGAAGGCGCAGGCTGATTTGCATTTGGCTTTTTTCCACGCACAAATTACCACCACTAAAGTTAAAAAAATGGGCAAAAATTGAAATTATAATCACGCCATATGCTCCGAGAAGGCAACAAGGCGAACAATTATTGATTCTGCACGTCAATAAGTTGTCACAGAAGTGCTTTTTCTTTTTTTTTTTCCTTTTGGATTGTAGAAAGTCATGGTCTTCAAATGTGAAACTCTCCGTGGAGGTTTTGCTCTCTCCTGCTTTGCTTGCTTCGCACATCATTATATTTTTTTTTACTTTGCGAAAATGAAAAGTGTGCCCATTCCGGTTGCCGTTGTAATGCGTCTCTCACCACATGCCATTAAGGAAGCTTATTTCCTCCCCTTACCGTGCTGGAAGAAATAAGTACAATATGGGCTGGAGGGAGAGCTGGTAATGTTCACCTGCATACATGAATACCGGGTTTTCATTGGGGACCTTCCGATGATTTATGCGCCCGCTGCGTCCAATGCGGAGGGTAATATCCAGCCCTAATGACGTCATACATTTGGTTTAAAACAGGTATGAGTGCGGTTCTGTATTCCGAAGTCATTTTTTATGCTTTTGTTTGCCACTCTTCCTTCCATCTCGGAGCTTTTGAAGTCAGCGGAGAATTGTAGCCAGAGTGGCGCAAGTGAAGTGCTGTCACAGAATAGGACAGCGAGACCGAGATGACAAAGCATCCTTTTTTCTGTTTGTGTTCTATATTGGCGTTCATTATCTTATATGCTGAGGGAGAAATGAAGAGAGCGCAGATGAGAAAAGCTCGCTGTCTGAGTACCACAATACAGGAAGTGGAAATGATTGGAAGAAAGATGAATCATGAGTCACTGTGTATTGTGCACCGAGCTCAACCGGGTCCAAAAGCATTCAGCGTTGTTTGAATTTTGCCCCCGGCTTCTTAAAGTGAAGACATATTTATTTTCCATGGTAAAATAAATAGCCACGCTTTCTTAATATCCACGTATAGAACAGTTTGTTGACAGACTGCCTGAATTTATTGAGGTTTACCCCCATAGGCACCTGTAGCCACGGCGCCAGAGCAGGCAGCAAAACCGACAGCCAAATAACCTTATTATTGCTTGGCGCCAGGGCCATAAAGCGAGTGGCAGATGGATGCTCCGTCCAACCTTCATCTATTTTGTTCTCAGGGCTTAGGGCTTTTCCTGTAATTTTTATAAGGTACAACATGAGGACTTTTTACTCAATGTGATATATTGCCCCTTGTGAATAATTACTAGTCAAGACCAAGGTGTGCCAATGTTCGAATTAATAAAATATAAAGTGCCAGGATTGCAGAGAGGGCTACTTCAAGTTAGACTTGTCACAATAGCATTTCAAACTTTATACTTGATATCAAACTTTGATAAGGAAAAATAACTTGATGCTCTATACCAACTGTAGTACCATGAAAAAACTTTTTTTATATAGTACCATATAACTTTCAACACAAAATGATGACAGAGACACTACAATTGTTCTGACCTAGATTGTACTGCTCTATTTCAGAACTATTGTAGTAGCTCCAGTGGTGGAATGCAATAAAGTACTGTATGTATGTAAAAAATTTAGGCATCTCTACTCAAGTAAAAAAAAAAAAAAAAAAAAAAAAAGAATGCATCTGTACTTTTTACTTTTACTTCACTATTTGAGATAAGGTATTAGTACTTTCTACTCCACTACATCTTTGAACAAGACTGAAAAGTAAAAACATTTTTTTTATTATTGTTTGAAACAAGTATTTTAATACTGTTATTTATGTAGATTTTTTCATGTGATTTATTTATTTATTTTTTTCCTAGTATCTGTACCTTTACTTAAGTAGTAACAATTTGGGTACTTCTTCCACCATTGAGTAGCTCTAAAATAGTTCAGCAATGCTACAATTATTCAGTACCTGCTTAATGAGTTTCCAGTTTCTCGAGTTTTTCAAGTTTTAGTATCCATAAGTATCTAGGCATCTTTTTTATTCAGATATAATCCAAAAGCGAATAATTTCCAGATTTAAAGTGAGGCAGTTTGACATAGTTGTAATAGTAATGTGATTAAAGAAAACGACTTGGCATGTTTGTTTTTGACTGACTTAACATGGAAAGAGTCATGTCCCATTCCCTCTG